GAAAGATATCTGTCAAAAGTTTTTAAGAGATTATTTTGGGATAGTTAAGCAGTTTATTTTAGTCTTCCGTATTCTATATCTCATATATTCTGGATTTTCAATACTAAACTCAAATTCATAAAAGTTATAAACATAATCTGATAAAAATAAATTAAAATGGCATTAGCCACTTTAAGTTTCTAGATATTATAATTAAGGGAAATTGCAATGACCTCATCCAATACCTGTCTTCCTAGTAAAATGGCAGGAAACACCTTTATGCACTCCCAAACTCCTCCAGCCCCAGATCTTCATGATCAAATATTTGTAGGACACATTAATAAGCTTGGAAGAATGAGAAAAATAAAACTACAAAGTAAACCAGGAATTTTTTTTAAAAAATCAGTTTACAGGGCAAAGGTTAGTAAATAAACTCACACATATTTTCTCTTATGCCTGGTCAGGCCTTCTAGAAGCTTCTCACTGAGAGTCATTCAAGTATCTGAATTGTGAAAAGGTTATCAATTCCCTACATCTAGTGATGATGCAAGAATTACTTACAAAGGACCGTCTACCACAGGTACAGAAAGTATCCTTTTAAGAGTTTCATTTGTTTTTTCTTTTTTGAAAACAGGGTAGAAAAACAGTTTGTCACTTTTTGTTCTGCCCAATTTTCCTATTTACTTCAATATTCAGAACAGATGATTTGTAACTCAAGAGAGTTCCCGCCACCATGGCTGTGAACACTTTTCACACCATCACAAGTAAATGGTACTCTCATCATCTACCTTTCTAGAGAACAATTTAGCATTGTTTATGCACAGCCTTCTAAGTGTGCATAACACCTGTGGTAATCTACTAGCAGCAGACACAAAGTTGTATGTAGGGCTTCCCTGGTGGTGCAGTGGTTGAGAGTCTGCCTGCCGATGCTGGGGACATGGGTTCGTGCCCCGGTCCAGGAAGATCCCACATGGGACCCCCCCGACCCAAAAAAAAAAAAAAAAAAAAAAAAAAGTTGTATGTAAACAGGATGCTCACTACATCAGGGTGAGTGCAAACCAAAAAGTCAGAGGCAAACAGGTCAACAGTGGGAGAAGGGTTAAATTACCATAGTGGCACAAAATGAAAAATTATATAGTAATTTTATAAGTGTTCTTATGGTATATTTAATGATATATTCATGATAATGATAAATCGACAAATTTTTATCATAATTTTATAAATGTATGCATAAAATTCATAGACATATGGACCAAAGACTAAAAAGAGATAAACCCACATGGCAACGGTAATTAGCTCTGGGTAGTGAGATTACAGTCGATTTTGTTTTCTTCTTTAGGTTCTACTACATTTTCTGCAGTAAATAGTAATTTCTCTTATTTAAAAGGAATGGCATGGGCCTCTTTTGGTGACTGAATTTCAACAACAAAAAAATATCACCATATAGAGGCGTCAATCCCCCAAAAAGAACAGGTGCAGTTCTTTCTCCCTGTCCAGCAGGAAGCAGTAAGCCTGGTATTTGTTCCTGGGTCCCTTCCTCTTCCACTCATTCTAGCCCATTAACAACCAAGCACTTGAAAAAAACACAATTAGCAATACTAAGATTGGTAAACCTGCCCCTAAAACACACACCTATATACAAATATTTGTACTTTTCTTTAAGTAAAAATAAAACAATGGCCATTGTGTCGAAACCCCTAAGGAAGGCCAGTATCACAGCCGTACATGAGCCGGGTCTTCTTCCTACTGCCCAGCCTCTTTCTATGTCCCCTCCTCACTGCTCACTGCGTTCAGCACTGCTGGCCTTCCTTCTCCTCCCGCGTCTCCCCATGACCCCTCACACCTCAGGGAAACTGAACTACAAAGTTCTTCCTGCAGAGGTTCACACAGCACACTCCTTGTCACTGAGGGCTCAGCTGGAACATCACCTCCTCAGAGAGGCCCTCCCTGACTTCCCTCCCAGAAAATGGTGTCTGGCTCCACTCCCTGCACACTTCCTCTTGCAAGACACTCTATCAACATCATCCTGTGTAATGCTCTTAAGAGCGCTCACACTATCCAAAATAATTGTTTCCTTGTTTACTGCCTGCCCTGAGCATCAGCTTTAGCATTTATAAACTCCATGAACTTGACAAAATCACTCAACACACTAAGTCTCATTTGAGAATAACCCAGGGTTATAAGTCACTAAGTGTCTGGCCTATAATAAATGTTCACTATAATGATATACTGTTTTAATTAAAAAAAATATAACCTTACCTTCTAAATGACAATTCACTGTATATTACTGAGTGGCCATAGATACATTTTAAAGATTATAGGACAAGACAGAAAAGATGCAGAATGGTTAGAGGCCTTAGCACCTGAGGATCAATATCTCACTGAGTTTGCTGGGTTTTCTCTCTGCCTCATACATCCCAGATTGGGTGCTGGATAATCCAGGAGCCAAAGAGCACACAAACACAAATACACAGGAAAAATCAGCTCTCTCAAGCCAAAGGATCAGGAAAGGGGCGGCGTGGAAAGACCAAAAACATTAAGACAATAGCTACTCTACTCTAGCCGAACACCACGGAAAGACAATGGCCCCTTCAGCAAAGGGCAAGAGGAGAGACTAGCCTCCTACCCTCACGTGACCGTAACAAGGCACCCCAACACTCTTCCCTGCCAGGGAAATAGAAAGGACCGAGAGAGAGCTGGGACTTTCATCCCAACCCAGCAATATCAAGGCCCCCTGGCCCCAACCATGCTATCAGTAGAGATACTGATGGGACACCTGGACCTCCACCCATTTATAGCAGTAATCATGTTTCCCTCCTTCTTTCTGCTGGGATGACATCAGAGGAGCCAAGTGGGAAGCCTTCACCTTTACCACCTTCCACCAGGAATGGGGCGCCCACCCCTACCCAACCAGTGTCAGTGGAGGAATAATGAGGAGCCCTCCCCCCCACCAGCCAGGGGGGCATAAGAAGAAGCCCAGTGGAAAGCCTGGATTCCCACCCTTGCCCAGCAGTAAGGAGGGGCTCTACCACACCCCTGGGGTGTCAAGAGAAGTCTACAGGGGAACCTGGACTTTCACCCCAACCTGGAAGGAGCAGAGAGCATCACCATCCTTCCTCTGCCAGTTCGGTGTCAGAGGAGGCCTACTAAAAGAGAAGATTTAAATAAAATCCAGAGCCTTAAAACATAACACCCAAAATATACAATGGATATAGAGCTTCTGTTAAACAAGTTGACAGAGTCCTGGAGCTCTGTTTCACAACAATGTGAATCTACTTAACACTCCTAACTGTACACTTAAGAATGGTTAACAAGGCTTCCCTGGTGGCGCAGTAGTTGAGAGTCCGCCTGCCGATGCAGGGGACACAGGTTTGTGCCCTGGTCTGGGAAGATCCCACATGCCGCGGAGCAGCTGGGCCCGTGAGCCATGACCGCGGAGCCTGCGCGTCCGGAGCCTGTGCTCCGCAACGGGAGAGGCCACGGCAGTGAGAGGCCCGCATACCAAAAAAAAAAAATGGTTAACAGTAAATTTTATGTTTTGAGCCACAATTTAAAGAAAATTTTTAAGTGCCAATATTAGTTAAAATCGAAAGATTATTTCTCATTTAATACATGTAATCATTCAATCATTTATTTAAGATACATGGAACATTAAACATTATAAAACAATTACAAAATCATATTAATTAGTGCATATTATTTTACTACCTTTGTGAAATATCTTAAACTCAATAAATCCGAGAAAAATAAAACTCTCAGCCTCTCTTACCACAATTTACATAGCAAAACTACTCAAGTGGTACTTTTTCTAATACAATGACTTGGAAAATTTAATAGCAAAAAATTAGACACAGACTATACTTTCTCTGAGGCTCAAATTTCTTCACAGAATTAAATCAGATTAATTAAAGGCAAAAAATGGACTGCTTTCTATTTTGACTTTCAAGATCAAGTTTATTATGTAAGCCTGACAATTATTAATTACTGAAATTTTTAGTTTTATAAAAAACCAAATTCAACGTGTTGCATTTCATGCAGGAGAAACGTGGCAAACACTATATTTACGTGGCCCCATTCCACACTTCCTAGCAGTGTTACCTTCACCATGTTGTACAAAACTCCAATTTGACAGTTATCTCCCCTCAGAAAAAGGGTAATTGGTCCAATAAGTATAAAGTATACTGCATACTACATTACCCTCATGAAGATTCATAATATACATGAGCACACGAAAAAGTGGAAAAGGTTGTACAACTGAAAATATGTCTGACTCATTGCTTTCCAAATGTGTATATAACCATGGTCCACATTTTTCACCTGTTAACATCTCACTGAACACTAATGTTCAAGGGCAGGGCTTCTCCAACCATAAACTTCCAACAAATCCTCAAGAGACCTCATTAAAATGTCAATTCTGATTCAGCAGGTGTGGGTGGGGCCTGAGGGTCTGTGTATCCAACACGCTCCCAGGTGATGCAATGTTTCTGGTCCAGGGACCACTCCTTAGCGGGCACTAGAGAAGACACTTTGAGGAAAGCTACTACAGAGACTTCTTTGCAGCTATGTAGTTTTCTGATACGAATTGAATACTTACAAACTCTACACTCCATAAAATAAAGGAATATCAAACGATTGGAAGGAGACTAAGTTAAAAACAAGAGAAAGGGAGCTCTGAAGGTTATGTGTACTGGCAGGGTATTAGGACAAGGAAAGGAATAAAAATGAATCAGGGTAAACAGAGAATATAAAGGGACCACTCCTTAAGGCAGGCAAGGGATATGGGAAAAGAGATGAGGGCTGACGACAAGGAGGCATAAGAAATATTAGCACGTAGGAAGGACTCATAAATTTTCTAACTTTTCATAAAATGGGACAAGCAGGCAGAGCCACTTACCAGATTTCTATTTTAATCACTAAAAGACTTTATAACATCTTCAGATGAATGGCCTGTGGTACAGAGGTTTGGCAAAGTTCAAAAGGGCCCCTTGAGATGAAAAATAAATTCTACAGAGATACATTGCTTATTGAGCCACTAAAATTGTAGGAGAACACAACAATTTTTAAAGTAGAGTAATAGGTCAAACCTTTTCTTGGATTAGCCTCTGAAGATGAATCCCACAGGACAGCATAGCACTGAATAAGGTCAACATGTACTGCTGGACTCTGCAGATGGCAGAGGCCAGGGAGTTTATGACTGAGGTCAGTCCCACCTTCTCAATAACATTCTGGAAGGCAGTAGGAGAATGGCGAGTGATTCTACACAAGGCCTGCAGGGACAGGAGAACAGATCCATCAGACTACTCCAAGCCCATGAACCAGTCCCCCGAAAGAGAACAAATACTTCTGTGGAAAGGAGTAGAAGGTGTTTACCTTGCTCCTTCATTACTTACCTTGGCATAAGAAATTTGGGCAATTTCAACACATGTAAAATTAAAACAATAATCCAGCTACCAATAAATACTTAAGTTGCTGTAAAACATTAGAATCTCTTACAATGGTCCTATGCATTATGAGTTAACTAAAATGAGAAAATAATTCATGAGTCTACACAGAATAATTTTAATAAAAAACATTAGATAAGTGTTCTTTGTGCAGACACTAAGCTAAGGGTTGAAAAATAGTCATAAAAGTAAGTATTTGTTTATTGTTTAGTATGTGAAAAACATGATCTGAGAATATCTGAAGACTACCTCATTTAATCCTTCCAAATAACATACATGAAAGGTATTATTATTAACCCCATTTTATAGGTGATAAAACTAAGGCACAGAATATTTAAGTAACTTGCTCAAAGGCATATAGCTAGTAAATGGCAAAGCTAGAATTCAAACCAAGGTAATCAGACCCCTGAGCTACTCCTCAACTGCTCATAGACTATCAAAGGTGAAACTTAAAATTAATAAACTAATAGAATTTAATGTGTTGTAATAGAAATTGACTCAATTATGCTTGGAAAAGCAGGAAAAGCAAGTCAACAAAAGCTACATAAGGAAAATGATAATTGAGTCAGTTTTTGAAGGTGAGTGGGAAAGTAAGGTGAAAAACTAAGTAAAGAAAATTCTAGCCAGAGAGAAGAGGACAAGTATTCACATGGAGACACAAAGAGCAGAGCAGGTTCTCGGAAGGGAAATTTGTCTGATGCATCTCTCAGGTGAAGGACAGAGAGAGTAGTAAAGAAGGGAAAATGATGACCCATCTACTGAAGAGACTGTCTTTTCCCCACTGTATATTCTTACCTCCTTTGTTGAAGACTGATTGACCATAGGTGCATAGGTTTATTTCCAGGCTCTCTATTCTGTTCCACTGATCTATGTGTCTGTTTTTGTGCCAGTACCATACTGTTTTTTTTGTTTTGTTTTGTTTTTGTGGTACGCGGGCCTCTCACTGTTGTGGCCTCTCCCGTTGCGGAGCACAGGCTCCGGATGCACAGGCTCAGCAGCCATGGCTCACGGGCCCAGCTGCTCCGCAGCATGCGGGATCTTCTCGGACTGGGGCACAAACCCGTGTCCCCTGCATCAGCAGGCGGACTCTCAACCACTGTGCCACCAGGGAAGCCCACCATACTGCTTTGATTACTGTAGCTTTGTAGTATAGTTTGAAGCCTGGGAGTGTGGTGCCACCAGCTTCATTCCTTTTTCTCAAGATTGCTTTGGCAATTAGGGAGCTTTTGTGGTTCCACACGAATTTTAGGATTATTTGTTCTAATTCTGTGAAAAATGTTGTATTTTGATAGGAATTGCATTAAATCTAATAGATTGCTTTAGACAGTATGGTCATTTTGATATTAATTCTTCCAATCCAAGAGCATAGGATACCTTTCCATTTCTTTGAATCATCTTCAATTTCCTTCATCAGTGTTTACAGTTTTCAGAGAATAGGTCCTTCACCTCCGTGGTTAAGTTTATTCCTAGGTATTTTAATATTTAGTATTTTGCTGTGATTTTATTTTTTAATTTGAATTTTTTGGCCACATGACATGCAGGATCTTAGGTCCCCAACCAAGGATCAAACCTGCATCCGCTGCAGTGGAAGCATGGAGACTCAACCACTAGACCACCAAGGAAGTCCCTTGATGTGATTTTTTTTTTTAATTTCTCTTTCTGATAGTTCATTATTAGTGTATAGAGAAGCAACAAATTTCTGTATATTAATCTTGTATCCTGAATCTTTATTGAGTTCACTTATTACTTCTAATAGTTTTTTGGTGAAGACTTTAGGTTTTTCTATGTAAAGTATCATGTTATCTGCAAATAGCGGCAATTTACTTCTTCCCTTCCAACTTAGATGATGCCTTTTATTTATTTTTCTTGCCTGATTGCTATGGCTAGGACCTCCAATACAGTGTTAAATAGAGGTGGTGAGAGTGAACATCCTTGTCTTATTTCTGAATTTAGAGGAAAAGCTTTCAGCTTTTCACCACTGAGTATAATGGTAGTGTGGGTTTGTCATAAATGGCCTTTACAATGTTGAGATATGTTCCCTCTATACCCACCTTAATGAAAGTTTTTAGCATGAAGGGATGTTGAATTTTGTCAAATGCTTTTTCTGCATCTACTGGAGATTATCATGTGATTTTTATTCTTCCTTTTGTTAATGTAGTGCACCTTACTGATTGATTTGCAAATGTTGAACCATCCCTGCATCCCTAGAATAAATCCAACTTGATTATGGTGTATGATCCTTTTTTCATTCTGTTGGATTTGTTCTGCGAATACTTTGTTGAGAATTTCTGCACCTATATTCATCAAAGGTATTGGCCTGTTATTTTTTGTAGTGTCTTTGTCTGATTTTGCTATCAGGCTAATGGTGGCCTCACACCTGTCAGAATGTTTATCATCAAAAGGTCTACAGGGACTTCCCTGGTGGCACAGTGATTAAGAATCCGCCTGCCAATGCAGGGGACACACATTCGAGCCCTGGGCCGGGAAGATCCCACGTGCCATGGGGCAACTAAGCCCATGTGCCACAAATGCTGAGCCTGCACTCTAGAGCCCTCAGGCCACAACTACTGAGCCTGCGTGCCACAAATACTGAAGCCCGCGCACCCTAGAGCCCATGCTCCGCAACAAGAGAAGCCACCGCGATGAGAAGGCCGCACACCACAACAAAGAGTAGGCCCCACTCGCCACAACTAGAGAAAGCCTGTGCGTAGCAACGAAGACCCAACGCAGCCAAAGAAATAATTTTTTTTAAATGTCTACAAATAACCAAAGTTGGAGAAGATGCGGAGAAAAGGGAATCCTCGTACACTATTGGTGGAAATGTAAACTGGTGCATTCGCTATGGATGTTCCTCAGAACTCTAAAAATAGAACTACCACATGACCCAGGAACTCCACTCTGGGTATATATCTAGAAAAAAATGAGAACACTAATTCGAAAACATAGATGCACCCCAATGTTCACAGCAGCACTATTTACAATACCCAAGATATGAAAGAAACCTAAACAACAGATGAGTGGATAAAGAATATGTAGTACATAGGTACACAACGGAATACTACTCGGCCATAAAAAAGAAGGAAACTCTGCCATTTGCAGCAATGTGGATGGACCTAGAGAATATTATGCTTAGTGAAATAAATCAGACAAAGACAAATACTGTATGATATGACTTACATGTGGAATTTTTAAAAGTAATACAAACAAATGTGTATATGGAAACAGAAACAGACTCACAGATACTGAAAACAAACTAGTGGTTACCAGAGGAGAGAGAAAAAGGGGAAGGGGCAAGTCATGGGTATGGGATTAAGAGATACAAACTTATGTATAAAATAGATAAGCAATAAGGATAGAGAATACAGCACAGGAAATGATAGCATTATCTTGTAATAGCATTTAATGGAGTATAATCTGTAAAAATACTGAATCACTATGCTGTACACCTAAAACTAATATAATATTGTAAATCAATTATATTTCAATTAAGAAAACAGATTTACTTCATTATTTCAGTCAGTATTATTTCAAAGATTATTCAATCCCTGGATTAAAAAAAATAAGAGCAGTCTAAATGGAGCCCCTAAAGATCATGCCACAATTAGAATTTTTCAAGGATATTTAGGGGTCTCCCTTAAACTGGCTTCGAGACAGTGAACAGTAAGTCTCATTAGCACTGTAACAATTCTGAGAGGCTTTCACAGTAAAACTGACTTCCTATTGATATAAAATCCCTATGCAATCATAATGCGGATGTTTCTTGATACAAGACTTGTCCAGACTGCTTCTAAGTGTATTCAAAGCAATATGAGGGCAACTGGAAGTTCTCCTCTTCAGAAAGCTGCTCAAAAGCCTAACCTATCTTCCATTTTGAAAAGCTCCTGCAGGAAATAACTTTTAACCCATCACTTCTGGATATCAAACACAGTTGAAAGCTCACAGAAGCTTAAGAGCACATGAGGGCTTGTATTTTCCAAATCAAATCTCAAGATAGACCTTCAGTGATTACGTTTTGAAATATTTACTTACTAAAACAGAGCTTGAGACTACATTTTAAAACTGGAAAGAACACTTTCAGTTCAAAATTCACTTCAAAATTTGCCTCCAAAAGGACATTGTGTTACCTCCAGAATCTGTGACCACCTATTTATTAAAAGCAATGCCTAAGAAAGAGATTAATTCAAAACTGAAGGCGGCAAATCTGTTAGAAACATGAACACAATCACCACGGAATAAGTCTAAGAACCATTTCTCTTCTGTCTTTTGAATGATTTTTTCATGTCATATGAAAATTACATTGGGAACTTTTTCAAACTAGACACATTCTCATCTGACCTCTGAGATCTTAAGACACATCAGAACAGGGGCAGGGGGTGGAGAGAGAGGAGGAAGCAGTCAGTGCTGTTGAAAAGCTCCCCTCCAACCCCAGTGAGAACCACTGCCCCAAAAAACTCTTCACTTTGTCACCTTTCCTCTCAGCACTTCAGTAATTATAATTAGCCCAGTAACCTCCCTCATAGGAGCCATTCTACTCAATCTAACTCTAAAGGCTTCTCTCGTTCGCACTGTGGCTCATACAGAGATTCCCTGTAACCCTAATAATTCTAGGAACCCTTTTATGCATTCAATACACTTCCCAAGTCAGGTCCGCTCCCTTCAACAACTAATCCCTAAGCCATGGATGCCACCACTCCCGAGCGGGAAGGATTAATTAGCCATCTTTCACTCCAAGCCAGGCCAGTGTTTTTCAAGAGCTCCAAGGTCTAGGGCAGTGGTTCTCGAACTTCAGCAGGCATTAGAAGCGCCTGGAGGCTTGTTAGAATGCA